CATACATTGGACCAGAATTTTATGCAAGTGTTGTACAAACAGGAAAGCCATAGTGTTGGCACTGCTTAGGCAGTATCTACATCTAGATCGATCTATACAAAATGCCTCCATGCATATGATGGCTTAGTTCAAGTCCTCAACAGCAATCCAACTTGAGGGCACCTCTAGCTCGGCACCGTTTTGGCCAAGGACCAGCATCATTGGAGCCTTCTTCCTCGCCCGCTGTGAGCACCCGCCTCAGCACAGCCGGGTTCACTCTACTCCCTATATGTGAGCATATATGGACCACAAGCCCTGAGAACGGTTGGCATGTCCCCAAAGCAGCGGCATCAAAGTCGGATGGCACATGGTTCTCTAAGTCAAGGTCCCCTTCCAGGCACGCATCAGGATTCCCTGTATTTCGGGTGCCCAAACCAGGACCAGGGTTGTGGACATGGCCTGGCCCACAGCCCCGAAATGTCATCAGCCAGACTCACAAACCCCAAAACCCTATTTCCTGTCGGTTTAGAGTTTAGGGATATGGGGGTTAGGAGTTCGCGTTTGGGGGGCTTCATTCATCGGACATCGGTTAAGGGTCAAAAGCCCTGTGGGCCAGGTCCCCCTGGGGGCCAGCTCATCTGCGGGGTTGGCTTGCCTTGCGAGGCGCCCGAGGGCATTGGGGGAGTTGAGGGCTCAGGGTGTAGGTTCATTAGGGCTTGCCAAACCTCAAGCCCGAGTGGCCAAAGCTGCCCCCAAAGGGGCACTTCCAAGAATCTCTAAGAGTTTGGGGCTTAGGGTTTCGGAAGGGATGTTATTCAGGGCTTCCTAAACAGGACCCCTTTCAGCCGTTTCATAAGGTCGGCTCTTAGATGGCTCCAGCTGGTACCCATCCCTACCCGGCAATACACCCGTGAACCCTGAACTCAGGTTAAGGTTGCTTACAACGAGGAAAAAGGTTGGGGGGCCCTATGAAAATTGCTAATTGCGGGCTTCCTTCGGCGTAACAAACCACAACAAGCGGCTGGGTTGAAGATTCAAGGGTTTAGGTGTTTAGGGTTTAGGAGTTTCTGGGACTGTGGGACTGACAGAAACTCGGGTGTAGGCTCGGCGTACGGCCTTTGTTGCGGGCTGCGGGCTTCGGTGGGGGTTTTACCGACACCAAATTGTTTAACTCTCAGCCCTGAACACCTAAACCGACACCCCCTTGAGCCAGAACAAACCTCCAGCCCCTAACCCTTTCCACGCGAACCAGGCATACTTGGCTGCTGCGCCATTGTGGGTCTCGCACCCAGAGTTCCTTTTCCACCCTGGAACACCCTCAGTTTTGATGCGCCTCAGGCCCAGCAAGGGGCCAGCTGATGCTGATGATGCTCGCCCGGCACCCTCAGTCCCAGCAAGGGGCCAACTGATGCTGATGATGCTCGCGCCTCAGGCCCAGCAAGGGGCCAACTGATGCTGATGATGCTCGCCTTTGCCGGGCGCCTCAGGCCCAGCAAGGGGCCAACTGATGCTGATGATTCTTGCCCTTGCCGGGCGCCTCAGGCCCAGCCAGGGGCCAGTTGATGCTGATGATGCTCGCCCGGCACCCTCAGTCCCAGCAAGGGGCCAACTGATGCTGATGATGCTCGCGCCTCAGGCCCAGCAAGGGGCCAACTGATGCTGATGATGCTCGCCTTTGCCGGGCGCCTCAGGCCCAGCAAGGGGCCAACTGATGCTGATGATTCTTGCCCTTGCCGGGCGCCTCAGGCCCAGCCAGGGGCCAGCTGATGCTGATGATGCTCGCCCCACCCTCATTCCCAGCAAGGGGCCAACTGATGCTGATGATGCTCGCGCCTCAGGCCCAGCAAGGGGCCAACTGATGCTGATGATGCTCGCCTTTGCCGGGCGCCTCAGGCCCAGCAAGGGGCCAACTGATGCTGATGATTCTTGCCCTTGCCGGGCGCCTCAGGCCCAGCCAGGGGCCAGCTGATGCTGATGATGCTCGCCCGGCACCCTCAGTCCCAGCAAGGGGCCAACTGATGCTGATGATGCTCGCGCCTCAGGCCCCGCAAGGGGCCAACTGATGCTGATGATGCTCGCCTTTGCCGGGCGCCTCAGGCCCAGCAAGGGGCCAGCTGATGCTGATGATGCTCGCCCTTGCCAACTGATGCTGATGATGCTCGCGCCTCAGGGGCCAACTGATGCTGATGATGCTCGCCTTTGCCGGGCGCCTCAGGCCCAGCAAGGGGCCAACTGATGCTGATGATTCTTGCCCTTGCCGGGCGCCTCAGGCCCAGCCAGGGGCCAGCTGATGCTGATGATGCTCGCCCGGCACCCTCAGTCCCAGCAAGGGGCCAACTGATGCTGATGATGCTCGTGCCTCAGGCCCAGCAAGGGGCCAACTGATGCTGATGATGCTCGCCTTTGCCGGGCGCCTCAGGCCCAGCAAGGGGCCAACTGATGCTGATGATTCTTGCCCTTGCCGGGCGCCTCAGGCCCAGCCAGGGGCCAGCTGATGCTGATGATGCTCGCCCTTGCCGGGCGCCTCAGGCCCAGCAAGGGCCAGCTGATGCTGATGATGCTCGCCCTTGCCGGGCTCAGGCCCAGCAAGGGGCCAGCTGATGCTGATGATGCTCGCCCTTGCCGGGCGCCTCAGGCCCAGCAAGGGGCCAGCTGATGCTGATGATGCTCGCCCTTGCCGGGCGCCTCAGTCCCAGCAAGGGGCCAGCTGATGCAGGGCCAGCTGATGCTGATGATGCTCGCCCGGCACCCTCAGTCCCAGCAAGGGGCCAACTGATGCTGATGATGCTCGCGCCTCAGGCCCGGCAAGGGGCCAACTGATGCTGATGATGCTCGCCTTTGCCGGGCGCCTCAGGCCCAGCAAGGGGCCAGCTGATGCTGATGATGCTCGCCCTTGCCGGGCGCCTCAGGCCCAGCCAGGGGCCAGCTGATGCTGATGATGCTCGCCCGGCACCCTCAGTCCTAGCAAGGGGCCAACTGATGCTGATGATGCTCGCGCCTCAGGCCCAGCAAGGGGCCAACTGATGCTGATGATGCTCAGGCCCAGCAAGGGGCCAACTGATGCTGATGATGCTCGCCTTTGCCGGGCGCCTCAGGCCCAGCAAGGGGCCAGCTGATGCTGATGATGCTCGCCCTTGCCAACTGATGCTGATGATGCTCGCGCCTCAGGCCCAGCAAGGGGCCAACTGATGCTGATGTGCCGGGCGCCTCAGGCCCAGCCAGGGGCCAACTGATGCTGATGATGCTCGCCCTTGCCGGGCGCCTCAGGCCCAGCAAGGGGCCAACTGATGCTGATGATTCTTGCCCTGCCGGGCGCCTCAGGCCCAGCCAGGGGCCAGCTGATGCTGATGATGCTCGCCCTTGCCGGGCGCCTCAGGCCCAGCAAGGGCCAGCTGATGCTGATGATGCTCGCCCTTGCCGGGCGCCTCAGGCCCAGCAAGGGGCCAGCTGATGCTGATGATGCTCGCCCTTGATGCTGATGATGCTCGCCCGGCACCCTCAGTCCCAGCAAGGGGCCAACTGATGCTGATGATGCTCGCGCCTCAGGCCCAGCAAGGGGCCAACTGATGCTGATGATGCTCGCCTTTGCCGGGCGCCTCAGGCCCAGCCAGGGGCCAACTGATGCTGATGATGCTCGCCCTTGCCGGGCGCCTCAGGCCCAGCAAGGGGCCAACTGATGCTGATGATTCTTGCCCTGCCGGGCGCCTCAGTCCCAGCAAGGGGCCAACTGATGCTGATGATGCTCGCCCTTGCCGGGCGCCTCAGGCCCAGCCAGGGGCCAGCTGATGCTGATGATGCTCGCCCTTGCCGGGCGCTTCAGGCCCAGCAAGGGGCCAGCTGATGCTGATGATGCTCGCCCTTGCCGGGCGCCTCAGGCCCAGCCAGGGGCCAGCTGATGCTGATGATGCTCGCCCGGCACCCTCAGTCCCAGCAAGGGGCCAACTGATGCTGATGATGCTCGCGCCTCAAGCCCAGCAAGGGGCCAACTGATGCTGATGATGCTCGCCCTTGCCGCGCCTCAGGCCCAGCCAGGGGCCAGCTGATGCTGATGATGCTCGCCCTTGCCGGGCGCCTCAGGCCCAGCAAGGGGCCAACTGATGCTGATGATTCTTGCCCTGCCGGGCGCCTCAGTCCCAGCAAGGGGCCAACTGATGCTGATGATGCTCGCCCTTGCCGGGCGCCTCAGGCCCAGCCAGGGGCCAGCTGATGCTGATGATGCTCGCCCGGCACCCTCAGTCCCAGCAAGGGGCCAACTGATGCTGATGATGCTCGCGCCTCAGGCCCAGCAAGGGGCCAACTGATGCTGATGATGCTCGCCTTTGCCGGGCGCCTCAGGCCCAGCCAGGGGCCAACTGATGCTGATGATGCTCGCCCTTGCCGGGCGCCTCAGGCCCGGCAAGGGGCCAACTGATGCTGATGATTCTTGCCCTGCCGGGCGCCTCAGTCCCAGCAAGGGGCCAACTGATGCTGATGATGCTCGCCCGGCACCCTCAGTCCCAGCAAGGGGCCAACTGATGCTGATGATGCTCGCCCTTGCCGGGCGCCTCAGGCCCAGCCAGGGGCCAACTGATGCTGATGATGCTCGCCCTTGCCGGGCGCCTCAGGCCCAGCAAGGGGCCAACTGATGCTGATGATGCTCGCCCGGCACCCTCAGTCCCAGCAAGGGGCCAACTGATGCTGATGATGCTCGCGCCTCAGGCCCAGCCAGGGGCCAACTGATGCTGATGATACTCGCCCTTGCCGGGCGCCTCAGGCCCAGCAAGTGGCCAACTGATGCTGATGATGCTCGCCCGCACCCTCAGTCCCAGCAAGGGCCCGACTGATGCTGATGATGCTCGCCCTTGCCGGGCGCCTCAGGCCCAGCCAGGGGCCAACTGATGCTGACGATGCTCGCCCTTGCCGGGCGCCTCAGGCCCAGCAAGGGGCCAACTGATGCTGATGATTCTCGCCCGGCCCAGCAAGGGGCCAACTGATGATGCTCGCCCTTGCCGGGCGCCTCAGGCCCAGCCAGGGGCCAACTGATGCTGATGATGCTCGCCCTTGCCGGGCGCCTCAGGCCCAGCAAGGGGCCAACTGATGCTGATGATTCTTGCCCTGCCGGGCGCCTCAGTCCCAGCAAGGGGCCAACTGATGCTGATGATGCTCGCCCTTGCCGGGCGCCTCAGGCCCCCTTGCAACTGATGCTGATCGCCCTTGCCGGGCTCAGGCCCAGCAAGGTGCCAACTGCTCGCCTTGTTGGGTCCCTCAGGCCCAGCAAGGGGCCAACTGATGCTGATGATGCGCGCCTGTTCAGTCTGATGCTGATGGTGCTAGGCGAGCCAGTTGCGCCCGACAAGGCAAGCTTTATCGGCCTTTGCTGAGCGTGAGGGGGTCATAGCCTTTCACCACCAACAAGGGCCAACTTTCCGGCAGGCTTCGTGTTGGGGGTTCCGCATGGTTCCACGGTGCGAGCAATAACTGCTTTCAATATGCTCCCCATCCAAGGTTAAATATCGTTGTGACAAATCGTTCGGATCATCTGGCAATCGGGATGTTTAGGCTTCTTTGTTCCGCGAGGCTTTCAGATGGGACCTTCTGGACCTTCTGGAACTGAACCTCTCCGCCCCTGAAAAGCTCTAGGTCATTACCCCGGATCACCCCTGCCCCTCCAAGTGCCCTTTAACGAGATGCCCAATATCCCTCCCATGATTTGGGGTTCGGGGTGTAGCTGATCGCTGTCAGGATGTTGCTTAAGATTTAGGGCTTACTCGGGTCCTGTCTGAGGCTACTTCGTGGGGATCATCGCGCTGCCACTCGCAGACAGCATCTCCATCTATAGTGCACTTGGGACCAGCAGCAAGATACCGTTTTTTTGTTTTATGAGGGACTTCTTCTTGTCTGCAAAATAGGTTCCCTGCAGGCCGGGGGACGACGTCAGCTCAGAATTGCCCAAAAGTAGGGGAAGTCGAAGCAGGCTTTCAGGGGGCTGCAGGTTTTGCCTCAGGGCTATGAAGGGCTCCAGAGTTTGGGTCTAGGGCTTTTTCAGGCTTGGGCTTAGGATTTAAGGTTTCTTTTGGACGCCCGTTGCCTAAACTTCACACCCCGAGTCTTAAACCCTGACCTGAACTAGTTTGCAGGGATCTCTTTTGCAGCCCGACGCGGGGCACGTGACGTGGTTCAGGGTTTTGTGGCTTGGCGGTTTAGGGTTTTGTTTTTGGTCTGTTACCCAAACCTTGACTCCCATTTTATTCTACCCAAACTCTCAAACCCAAGGTCAAACCCATCTTCGCTGCACTACTTGGTGATCCCGGCAGCAGATATGGGAGCTGTTTCAGGGGTTCAAGGTTTGGGGTTTTTGAGTAGGGAGGGACGACTCCTCCCCTCTTGACACGCCGTCTAAAGCATGCTGTGCATTCTTGGTTTCCTTTCCTAAACATCGACCCTAGAAGTCTAAAAGCCGTAAGCCCCCAACAGCCCAATAACCCTACAATCCTAAAGCCCATTCGCCTTGCAACCCCCCACAACACGAAAGACCCGAAACCCTACACCCCATAATGATCAAGCATTTTTGCGGGCTCGAGGTGGGACGAATTTTGCTAGCATGCACTGTCCACTCTTTGATGGATTTGGCGGGGCGAGGTGCTCCTGTAGGTTTGCAAGCTTTAGAGTTTTCAGGACGTGAGGGCTACTAGGAGTTCAAGCTCTGGGTATACAAGTACGTTCAAGTCAAAGCTTACCCCACAACCCCTAACCCCAAACATTCCTCCTAAAGCCCGAATCCCAAAAAGCCACACAAGGTGCATGTGTGCTCGGTGAAGCTCTCGGCTTCATTCACGTCTTCGCCACAGGCTCTGAAGTTTGAAAACTAAAAGGGGCTGACCTGCCTTCCCCACCTACTTTGTGCTGGAACGGAAACTCCCCGAAATGCGGGACTGCGATTGGATATCTAGGAATGTGGTTGAACCGCCTACTCCTCGGACATCACCTGATTGTAACTTAGGGACTGAAATGGACAAATTACATGAAGCCTACTCTTGGGATGATGTACCCTCGACCACGCACATCGGCCATAAACCCTCTTAGGGTTGATTTAGTCCCGCTTGAGCGGCAGCACCCAGAAAAAGAGCTCCAGCGCAAGGGGGTGTCATGGAGGGGCCGAAAACCCCCCAAAAAATCCTCAACCTTTCGCCCCCTAGCCCCCCTGAGCCCTTAACAACATGCCTACTGCGTCCCCGAAGGGCTTTCTTTGGTGGGCTGCGTCCTGGTTGCCAAGGACCTGCTATTGAGTTACAATTGCGCACGATTTGTATCGGGACTTCGAGGGTCAGACATGAAACATTCTAAGCCCCTAAACCCTAAACCCTAACCCCTAAACCCTGAACCCTACCCATAAACCCTGCCCCACAGCCTTATGAGGAGCAGCTACCTGGGTCACACGGGGTGTTGTTTGCCGTGTTCGGAAGCCTGGCAGTGTCTCAGCCAGCTGCACTTTGTCCAAGGGTGGGCCCTGAACCTTTCAAGCCCCAACCTCTAAGCTGCTTATTAAAGCTAAACCCCCACGCTCCGGGGACCTTAGAGAGATCTTCTTTGTCTGGTTGTGATTTGGGGTTTTTTGGTGTTTGAATCTTCACGTTCTTCTTTCCTTCCAAGCTTGTAAGTGCAATAGTCCCCAGGACGAGGCCGCCAGCCACCACTCGTCGAAGCACGAGGAGATTTGCAGTTGGGGTTCAGGGTTCCAGGGTTCAGGATTATACGGTTTCGGGTTCCTAAACCCTCAAGAGCTGAAACCTTCAGGGCTTACAGTTTAGGACTTGGGGTCGCCCAGGATATAAGGGGATGCACCTCCAAGACGGGGTCGCAGACCACATTGGGGTTGATCTAAACCTTCAGGCACTGAAATCCCTAGAGTGAAGAGCATACTTCAATGCATGCCCTGAAAGGGTCCACTATTTTGCTCAGCCTCCATATGCGTGTGGGATGGGTGCCCATACGACAACCGCATGCCGGATGCTTAATAAAAGTAGTCCGAGCCCTTTGAAGCCCGATGAATCCAGGGGGCTGCTCCAGCTTAAGGCTTGTGCCTTTTGCGGCTTAGGGCTTCTGGGGTTCTTCGGTCTTAGTGTTTCGGGTTTACGGCTTAAGGGTCTTACAGCCTGAGTTCCAGCTACAGCTCACCACAGGATCCTATATACATATATATATATATATATATGTGCATATCTAAAGGGCCTGCTGGAATTCTTCTTAATTAGAACTTTCCCCCAGGATCTCTATCTCGACCCGACCTTGGCAGTGGTTGTGCTGCTGCAGCCTGGCTGTGATTCTAAGTTCTAGGTTCCCCTAAGCTGCAAATCCCGAACCCTGGACCCGAGAAGCGCTTAAGGGCTTCAGATCCAAGGTGGCTTGAGGGTTTTGGGGGTTGAGGACCCCTAGGCTTTAGGAGTCTGAGGGCTTATGGCTATGGGCTTCGGGTCCAGGAGTTTAGGGGCTTGGCCGAAACTCTGGTTTGGGGGCCTAGGGCCCCGGGTCCCCAGCCCCCCGCGCAAGCTTACCCCAGACTCCATGGGGCAATCAATGCACCTGAAGCGCTCGAGGCTGAAAAGCAACTTCAGGCCCCAACAAACCCACATGAAGGGCACTGATAGGACCCCGCAGCCTTTTTTGAGTTTTGGTGAGGTTTTTGATGATGTAGGGTTCAAGGTTCTGGGCTTGGATCCTAAAAACTCAACCCTCAGCCCTCACCTCGAAACCTTCGTGCTTTTCCTCGCCTGCAAACCTCGGCAGCCGAGGTTTGCAGCACTCTTTGCCGCGGGGACGAGCATCTCCACCCGGAAAGTGATGGCAGGCCTGGGATCGGGGTTTTACTTCAGGGTTTTGGGGTTTAGGGTTTCTAGGGTTTAGGGTATTAGGTTTAGGGTCTTCAGGACTTGGGGCTGAATGGGTTATGATTCCTTTGCTTTCCTGTAATATAAAACTTTGCATGTGGGGGTTTTAAGGGCCAGGTTTTGGGTTCTAAGTGTATGGTCGCCTTTGAGAGGGTCCATCATGACAAGGAGCCTCATCTTCGGGCGCCCAGAATCGGGCCATAGATTCAGAGGACTGCCCACTTGGAGTTCGAGGTTCACGAGTGCTTAGGGCTAGTATATTCTTATGGGCCCTTAAAGTAGTATAAAATATTGGGCCCGTTGTGAATGCCCAAAAGTTATATTAAAAGCGCGTGTCATTGCATTCCTTGCCTTTTAATAGAAATCTATATTGTCTTTTAGTATATTATTTCCGGGACTCCGGGAGGACAATAAAGGGGTGAAAAGAAGTATATTATAAGGGCGTGCGAATCAAGGACTTTGAGCATGCACGCCTACATAATACTATAAAAGGTTAAAAGGCTAAATACTTAGTGTGTGAACCCACACATTCATACTATGAACGAAACGGGCCTCATTAGGGTTTAGGGTTTGGGGTGTAGGTAAAGTACCACTGTGGCCTGGCTTCGGTACTAGAGAATCGCAGGTAGAACCGAACTCGCCACAAACTTTCAAGCATTTTTGGGGGAATTCCGGCGTGAGGTCCGCGGTTTGCAGCCTGGTTTTAGGTTTGGAAAACTTGGTGGTTTATATGAAAATCCAGGTGCCGAAGCTTGAAATTTACAATTCCGGGTTGACCCGCGATTCCTTGAAAAGCCTTTTGGGTCCCAGAGTCCTTGGGTCCTAGCCTACAAAACCCCCCAGCATCCCCAAGGCCAACACCCTAACCCCCCAGCATCCCCAAGGCCTGGACTGGAAAACCCTAAACCCCCTAAACCCCCCAAACACCAATGGCGCCCACACTCGATCCGGACTCCCAAAAGCCCCAAGCTTGCTCCCCCTGAACCCTGAGGCCTAAACCGCCCCCCCTCCCAATCGCCGAAGGCCCTAAACCCTCCCAGGCACCACGGTGCGGGCCGAGGTCCCAGTCTGGTACTTCTGCTTCATGGCACCTTGCGCCGCAGTTTTTGTTTTGGGGGGGGGAAGGGGAAGGGTTGTGACGTCTTCGGGCGGCCTCGGTTTTCGGGTTTTGTGCGTTTCGTTTTAGAGCCGTTTTCGGGTGTTGGGTGTTTCGTTTTAGGGTTGGAACAAGAATGGTTGGCCTAGGGTTTAGCATTGCGGGGTTTAGGGTTTTTCGGCTTGAAGGTTTAGACGGGGCTAAGGGGTTGGATACTGTAGGGGTTATTTCCCAAAAAGACGGGGGCGCGGGCCCTTAGATACCCCAAACTACGATACCCCAGGGTTCAAGTCCGTCGTGGCTAGGGCTTGAGAAGAAGGGTCCTTAGGAGGAGGAGGAGGAGAAGGAGGAGGAGGTAGTTTCCAGAGTATGCGGGGGAACTCGCAGCTTCGGCTGAACC